AAATAATAATATATTCAATATATTATACAAATAATTAGATCGTGAATATAACGTTTATATCCCCAACATGTATTCAATGTCGTTTTACAACACATGGTTTCTCAGATAGTAAAAATTTACCAACTCCGAATATGCAAGGGGAGGTACCTAGTTTTATTACAAAACTCTTTTAATGTAAGAAATTGATTTTTACTTTATTACTTCAGATATTGTGAAAATTTTTACTTTTTTCTTCTTACCTTGAATAATATTTTCATAATAGAAGGGAAAAAAATAGAGATGTAACAGTTAAAGATCAAGGCAATTTTAACAGTAAGAGTATGTTCTGGTATGCTTTACAATACTACCCAAGAACAAGAACAAAAATTCTTAGTTTTTACTTTGTCTTTTCTTTTCAAAATCATGTCAGGTCCCAATATCCTTCTTCAGTAATCACTGTCAAAGCAAGCATTCAAAAATGGAGTCCCAACAAAAAAAAAGAAAAAGAAAAAAGAAAAAAAGAAAAAGAAAGGACAACGTGAAGAAGAAGAGAGTATAATACTCAGAAAAGGCCTGGTTATAGCACAAGAATAAAGCAAACACTCCTTTCAGAAAGAATTTTGTAAAGTAAAAAGAATTTTATAGCACACTACTAAGAAACAAATTCAAGGAAGCAATATCCAGTATACTGAAAAGAGAATATCATAAACAAAAAAATCAAATTTGAAAGGGACATCACAAAATTTTCTCTTTGCCAAATGCAACTGTAAGAAACTTTTCTGGGAGTTGTCAAGTTCACATTTCTTTCTGAATAAGTGTATTAGCATATGAAACTTTACAGAATAACTAGGTTAAACTAGAAATGCAAAAGGGAGCATATGAAAAAAGGCTTCCTTTTTCAGACCCACCAGAGGGACCATGCCTTAACTCAGAAGAGGTAGGAGATGATCCATAGCAAAAATTTATTGATTTCTTTTTTTTTTTTTTTTGTCTCAACTTTTTGGTTCATTAATAAGAAAGTATAGAGTTTAAAGTGGGCTCAAAGTCAAGATTTAGATAGCAAATATTCCTAGAAAGCAACAGCAAGAATCACAATTCCACAGCCACAAACATTATAGAAAAAGGAAACCACAATGAGATTTCAGTGAGAACATGAATAGATACTACTAATTTGAATTAGCCACCTCAAGAATAGAGCTTTGGAATTTATGTGCAAAAATTAATTAGAAAAACTCAAAATCTAAGTAAGGACCTAATGAAAAATCTGAATCAGTAGCTCCCTTGTCATTACAAGGCAAGGATGACTTGGATGTGTGATTCAGAAAAGCAAGATCAATAGGTTTCGGAATTTCAGGAGGGCAAGTAAGGCGAATTAGAGCCCAATTAACATTTGCAAAGAAAGGATGTTGTTTAATCTCTGTGGCACCTCTTTTGAAGCCTAGTCTCTTTTGAGGATCCTTTACAAGCAGACCCCGGATTAAATCTTTAGCCGCAAAACTGAGAGAAGATCCCTCAGGAAACTTCAGGGGTTGAGAAACCACATTGAATAAGGTCTCTCGGTTTCCATTGCCTTTGAATGGTGTTCTCCCAAGTAGCAACTCATACAAGAAAATGCCAAATGTCCACCAATCAACAGCACTCCCATGACCATCTCCTCTTATTATCTCTGGAGCCAAATACTCATGGGTTCCAACAAATGACATCGAACGAGCACTAGTTGGCTCTGCAACAAGTACGGGGAGTGAGTCGAAACTTGTCAAATTCGTTCTTTCACTCTTAACCTTTGTTGTCTTTGAGTTAAAAAGACGAGGCTTAAGCAAGATGGTTGCAAGCAGAAGCACTACGCAAACAGGTAATTTGCAAGCTGGATCGATGCATGCTGGTTGATACAGTATGA